TGGTATGCTCTGGCCTCGGGACGCTCGATGTGGCCGTGCCATGGGCAGACGCAGTCCGTCGAGCCAGCGCCAGGTGCGTCTCCGGCGCACCGACCTGCGCAGTCTCGACGCCCACTTTTGGCCCGGCTTTGAGCGCTACTGCCTCACGCAGACGCTCTGGAAGGCGCTCCTTGCCTTTGTGGAGGAGCACGACCTCCTGCTGGACGCCGCCATCGCGCCGTCGGTCGGCGGCGCCTGCGTCACGCTCTCGCTGCATTTTGCATCGGCGCTGCCTTCGCACGCCAAGTGGATCAAAGGCTACTCGTACGTTCTGCAGCATTTCGAGTCGGCGCTGCGGCAGCCGGTACGCGACGTCCCGGCGGCGTTTGCAAAGGCGCTGACGACCGAGTGCCACGTCCTTGGCTGCCTCCTCCACGACGACCAAGACGGCGGGCCCGATCAGTATACGCTCGCCACGCTTTTTACGAGCTTGGAGGCGCCGCTCGAAGCCAAGCGGCTTGCGATCCGAGACGGTAGTGCGTACGCAGCCCGCTGCGCGTCTGGGAGCGCACCACTGCTCACGGACCTGCCCTTCAACATCATGTGGAGCATCCTGCGTCTTCTCAATGCGCAAGAGCTCGCAATGATCGCGATGGTGTGCACGACGCTGCAGCATCTGACGTACGACACCGTGCCCCGCCTCCGGCTGCACCTGTACCCGCACCAAAAGAAAGCGCTCAAGTGGATGCTCTACCGAGAATGCTCCGCCCGGTTCGTTGCCCACTTAGATCCTATAATGCCCTGAACGCTGTGGTAGGGCCCTTCCGCACCCGTACCTCGTCGGTGGCGTGATCGACCCAGTTTTGCACCGCGTGCATGCGTCGCCGCTGCCGGCCATCGACATGCGCGGCGGCTTCCTCTGTGACGAACCCGGCCTTGGCAAGACGATCACGATGATTGCACTTTTGCTGCGTACGCAGGGCGCCCGGTCCTCCGTTGCCTCTGTGCCTGCGTTGGCCCCCGACCGCGGCTACGGTCTTCGCTCGAGCCAGCCTGCATCCTCGTCGTCATCCTCGCCGCGTCGAATCGCCTCGGTCACGACACTAGTCATTGTGCCCGACACGCTTGTCGCCCATTGGAGCCACCAGCTGTTTACGCACACGACCAACTTAAGCGTCTACGTGGACGACCAGCGCGACTTGCCACGCGCCGAGGTTCTCACTACGTACGACGTGGTTGTGACGACCTTTGGCCGCATTAGCACCCACTGGCAGACGCAGCGACCGCTCGCAACTCGTGCGCCGTCTCGGCTCGGGTTTGAGGGCCAATCTGCGTACATCGATGGCACGCTTTCGCGCGGCCTCTCGCCCTTGCTGCAAGTTCACTGGGTGCGCATCATCGTCGACGAAGGCCATAAGCTCGGCGGCCTCAGCATCACGAACGCGATGCAGATGCTGTGTGCGCTCTCAAGCGACAAGCGCTGGATCATGACCGGGACGCCGACGCGGCATGTGGCGCAAACCGACGGGCTCCGGCACCTCCATGGGCTTTTGCGCTTTCTGCAGGATCGACCGTACGGCGCGAACGATGAAAAACCGTGGCTGCAGGCGATCGCCAAGCCCTTTGAGCGCCGCGCTCGTGTCGGGTACCTCCGACTGCGCCACCTTCTCAACCGCATCATGCTCCGGCACGTCAAGAGCGACGTGACGAGCATTCCAGAGCCATGGCGCACCCGCGTGATTGTACCGCCGTCGGACCTCGAGTACCGCATCTACAATGGCGTCGTTGGCGTCATCCGCGGGAACCTTGTGGTACGACATTATATCTTGAAGGCAATGATGTCCCATCTGTACGTTCTTCCATGGGGTTAGGTGACGAAGTGGGATCCGTTGACGCCCGGTCCGATGCACAAGGACAGTTTGCTGAACCCTGAAAATCGGTAGTGCTACTAATCATTGACTTATGCAACGATGAACGCCATTGGCATCTAGGCGGGACGCGCTCACGGCGCTGGCCAACCTGCGCCTCGCGTCCAGCGGCGGCGGACAAATGGCCGTGCATCTCTCGACCGAGTATTACACCGAGACGATCGACTATTTGAACGAGTTCAAGGTGCCACATGAGCGCCAAGCGCGTGTGATCGCCTACATGCACGACGCGCCCAACGGCCTCTGC